GCCACCTGCGCCCGCCCGAACCGCGCTCAACTTCGCTCTCGCGCTCTGCCTCGCCCGCTTGCCCGGCCGCCCGCTCATGAATATTTATAGCGAGCGCCGCCGGGCCCCGCCCCGCCCGCCCCGCCAGCCAATCGCGCGCCGCCGGGCGGGGAGCGGCGCAGCGGCCTGCGCCGGCCTTAAGGTGGAACCGGGAGCGCGCGTGTGTGCGCGATAGGGATCCCTTCCCGTGAGTGTGTGCATGTGTGTTAGGGATCTCCTCCCATTTGTCTGGGACGGGGATCCCTTTCCGTGTGCGTGTGCGTGAAGGATGCCTTTGCGCGTGTGTTTTTGTGTTAGGGATCCCTTTGCATGTGTGTTTGTTGTGTTAGGGATCCCTTTGTGTGCGTGTGTGCGCGCGCGTATGCACATTAGGGATCCCCTTCCATGTGTTAGGGTTCCGTGTGTGTGAGATAAGGATCCCTTCCCATTTGTGTGTGTGTGCATACTGTGCGCATGCATGCAGGATAGGGATCCCTTCCCACTTGGCAGCATGTGCGTGCATGTGTGTGTGTGTGTGTGTGTGTGTGTGCACGCACACAAGCAGGATAGGGAATCCCTTCCCATCCAGAGGTGCATGCATGAGTGCATGTGTGTATCACTTCCAGGTGAGTCCTGGCCAATGGCTCCTTCAGGAGTTAGGAGCAAGTTTTCATCACTCTCTTTCTTTAAAAAAAAAAAAAAAAAGAGAAAACGAAAGAAAATAAATCTTTTGGTTTCACATCATTTGGTCTCGGGAACGAGCGCCCAATGGCTGGAATTCTTCAGTGCACTCTGCAAAAAAAGGTCCATACGCTTCTCTGCCCAGGTGCGTGCGCTGGGTGTACTGTGCAGCAGTAGGGCCTAAATCAAAGCAGACCCAAAGCCCAATCTTGCAAAACATTACTTGGGTTTTGCCATGATGGTTTTGGAGAAACCTGAAAAACTTTTTTATATAGAAGGCTTTTGCACAGCCCAGACACACATCTGTCCAAGGAAAACATGCAACCTAATCCAGACCTTAGTGGTGGCTAAGGATCTGCCAGAGACAAAGTATCAGTCAATAAATGGTTTGGGTCCTGAGAATGTGCCAGACCAGTCAGTCCATTTGGTTGATACACCGGTGTGGACTTTGATTTATCCCAACTGGCAGCTGGTTACACTGAAGAGTGGCTGCACTTCCTTAGCTAGAGCTGCTTAAAATAGGCATTATTTACAGTCAGTGGCAGGATCATCTCCCGGGCAATAAAACTTCCAGTCGGAGGCTGGAGTCTGTGCGCCAGAATCTGAGTTCGTGCCTGTCTTGAGCGAGGGGAGAAAGCTTGCTGCACTGAGTATAAAGCAGGGCAGGGTGGCAATTTAGAGGCTCCCTGCCCCTCCTTTCTCCTTGACTTCAGACTAACCCAGCTAACTACTTCTCTCTCTATTGAGTGTCTAATAAGACTTAAGGGGCAAGCAGCTGCTGCTCCACAGTGGATTGCTGCAATGGATTCTGAATGGTTAAGGACTAGCTGAGCCAAAAATTGCAATTTAAGAATCAGAGGATCCATCCCATAAACTTCTGTGACAGCCCTCTGGTCATTTAGGTGTCAGGAGACCAAGGAGACTTCAATAGCTAAAGGCTCAGGTGTGTTTTGGGAGTCAGGTCTTGGCCTAAATGGCCAACTCCCATTGCCACATAGATCTAATTTGGTCTGTAAGTTGCAAATGTACCCTGCCTTCTGCTTGGCTCCAGATTCATGCAGCTCCAAGCCTCTCTAATGGTGAATGGCACTGCTCTCTCAATCCGCAGTGACAGAGGGAGTCTTGAAAAGGATGCTTACTTAATAACTGGCGGGACAGGACCCTTCATTTCTAAGAGTTATAAAATCTTGTCGGTCCCATTCCTTGACATAGCAACTGCTTCCCCTGCAGGAGGGCTAACAATCGTGCTCGTCTGAACAGGTGGTGGATTTCCTTTGGAAGAAGAGGAAACTAGAGCATTGCTGCGGCCACCTCGTGCCCTGTTTTTTCCTGCGAATGGCTGACGTCAAAGGCGTGCGATCTTCTGCCATGGACTGTGCAGGTCACTCCGGAGTCTCGGCTGTCAGGCTTGGTGAGCCCAGGGCAGGAGTGGGGGATGCCCGAGGGGAGATCTGGA